TGCCAGCACCGCTTCAAATTGATGTTTGAAACAGATGGGAAAAGGTTGGAGAAAACTGTTCTGAAGATTTCTGAAGTGGGACTCGTCAAGGATTCTGCTCAACTTTGTTGACAGTTGTCTCAATTCTGTGAACGAGATGAGTTTTTTGCTGGGGACGACATTGGTTCGATCCACAACTTGGATCCTGTCAGGCCTGCATCAAGAACGGATATCCCTTTGTGCTGCTTGGATGATCTTGGATGAAGAGATGGCTGCGGATCCAAACCTTCCCAACACCCACAGGGTTCCATCCTGCCTAGTGCTGCCGCCGAGGTTTGGCTTCACAGTGCTGACCAGCTTCAGTGAGGCAGCAAAAGACGGGAAGATGGTGATGCCTCAGCCTAACGACAAGGTCCGAGGAGGCTTGGCCCTTTGGGATGCTTTGGGATGCCTTGGGATGCCTAGGGATGCCTAGGGATGCCTTGGGATGCCTTGGGATGCCTAGGGATGCCCAAAAAAGGCCTGACAACCCAGTGCGTGGCATAATGTGGCACAGGTCGATGATTTGAGTTTCAAATATTTTCGCATGGATTTCTTGATGGGTTGCCTTCGTAGGCTGCAGTGTGGGGTTCCGACAAGATTCATCTTGATTCATCTTGAGATCGTTGCAGGCCATGCTGTGACAGCCGTGGGCTACGATGACTTCAAGGAATGCTTCATCGTGGCCTAGCAGAGCTGGAGATTGGTTTTGTCTTGTCCCCGCAACAACATAACAACTACATATCACCGGGGATTCACATAATTCAAGGCACTTCGTTCTGGTGCCAGGGGCAAACAAAAAGCTTTTAGAATCTCCAAATCGTGCCCAGCAAGATACCAATGAGAAGTTTTGTTTTCGCATTTCCCAGTCCAAGAGAACACAAAGGAGCATATGACGCACCTGGACGAGAATTGATAATCAAACTGCGATATACTGCGATGATTTTTTTTCCCGTTGCTGCTTACTTGCAGACAGCCAACAGACTTCCAAACCTCCGACACATCTAAGGTGCGCAATTCCTGGGGCGAGGACTGGGGAGACAAGGGCTACTTCTACATGCCCTACGCCTGGATCACTCAGGAGAACTTGGCCCAGGACTTCTGGGCCATCAATTGGATTGAAGGCTTCAAGGAGGCTGCTCCCAAGAAGAAGTGAACGGACGTGTGAACAGACGCCTGAAAGGGCGCCGAGATGGCTGTCCCCGAAAGGGGTTGCCACCCATGCTGAATGGTGATCAAAATTGGTGACCAGGATGTTTCTTTTAGCTGTCGAACAAAGACGCGCAAAAGATGACCTGGCAACAGGGGTGTTGTGACCTCCATTTGGATTCATTTGGCTGGTGCTTTAAGCCCACCTCTAGCAGACCACCAGGGCAGCGGAAATTTTCTGGGATTTCTGATCTTCCAATATCTTCCATTGTGATGTTGGTCTCAGTTTTCATTCATCTTCCAGGTCGGACAATCAGAAAAAAGTGAGCCAACATGAGCCAACATCACACGCAATTTCCACTTCAGCACCTGGGCTCAAGTCCTGCACGTTTGCTGCTCCCGTTAACTGACCATTGTAGTGAAACACCATGGGAAGCTGCGAGAGCAAGACCATCAATGATGCTGAGATCGTTGTTGACACCACCAGGCCGGGGTGGCTTAGAGTCTTAGTGTTGCTTGTTGTTGATGAAGAAGAGGTTCATACCGCGTCATACGCATCGGAAGCAAGCTGCAAAGTTCGCCGTTTGGGAAGATGGCCTAGCTGCAGCTTTGGAGTCTAACAGATTCAACAAAACAGGGACTACAGTCCCAGGTTTCAACGGTTTTTCTTTTAAGCTTTTAAGCTTCCAGCCTGCCAGGAATCCCAGGATGCAAACCATGTCCTTGACGAGCACGGAGAAGATGGGTTGGATTCCAGATATCCCAGATCATCGTGACTTGCACATGACCTTTTCCACCACCAAGGAGGCTTCCAAGGAGATCAAGAAGAGTCTTGACTTTAAATAGACCCAGCTGTACGTCATAGATCCCACTGTCACCGGGCCTGGTTATGCAGCGTTCTTCATTGGAGGATCTTTGCAGACTTGAGAGGACTTGAGGTACTGCAGCAGATACCCTAAAGAAACGACTCCCGAAATCAGCGGAAACTCAGTAGTCACCACTGCCAAGTCACCCAGGAAGAGCGAGGGATCCAAGGAGGTAGTGGATCTGCGTCCGCAGAACGGTGGCTTCCCCATCTTCAACCAGGGCCACTTGGGCAGCTGTACGGCAAATGCCTTGGCAGCTGCTTATCACTTCACCCTGCACAAGCAGCTTTGGGTTGAGAGCGTAGCAGCTTTTTAATTCTTTTGTTACGATATGTTACGATGACGATCGAACAACACCAGGCAAAAAAAACACCAAACAAACCGAACAAAATCACAAACAATTAGAACACCCCTCCAACAAACGAGGAAAACACCACTGAACATCCACCCCAAAAATGACAGCAATTGATCATCAATCGACCAAACACAAAGAGAAGACATCAACAGATGAGGATTCGGAATTGGTGAGGAAGTTGTTTGAGTTTATTTTTTGAGCTCCCGGGTCCCCAAAGCCAAGGCAGAATGTGGAGAACCATGCGGATTTCAAGGACTTCACCCCCAGCCGGCTGTTCATCTACTACAATGAGAGGCGCTGGGAGGTTTGTGGCAGGTCAGGTTGCTGACTACCAGTTCGTTACTGGTTGGTTGCTGGTTGCTAGCCGGTTCCTGGCTGCTCGTTGCTGGCTGGTTTTAGGTTTCTGGTGCTGGGGAGGGGCCTGCTTCAGTGGCGAGAGCTTTTCATGTTTCTCTTGTGGCCGGCCCAGCAGGTACATGGAGGGCAGCGTAGACCGTGATGCGGGTGCTATGATTCGTGACGGAATCAAATGCATGGAGAAGCTCGGTGTGTGCCCAGAGGCTGTCTGGAAGTGCCTTGGACGATGGATGGCACGGGATGGTGTGGATGGGGCTGTGGCTGGAAGATGGGGTGCATCACAGTCGCATGTAAGTTTGTTGTTTGATGTTGGTTTGGGCTTAAGGCTTAAAGGAAGTGGAGAGAGGACTAGCAATTTCATTGTGTAACCGTAAAATGATGCAACTATTTGGATTTGACACCCACACATCCAATCCCTGGACCTCTGCAGTTTTTGGACATTTGCATGCCAGAAGGTAGGAACGCCGAAGTATTCGCGACCCCCGAAGTGATCAACCGACGGCCCCCCAGGGGACAGAACCATGCATGACCCATCTAGGTATGACGACAAGAACGGCTTCTTCAAGGAACAGCCCGACAAGAAATCCTATGAGCTCGCGTCCAAGTGCCGAGTGAAGGGCTATGCTCACGTGGCACAGGACTTGTCTCAGATGAAGGTGCCATGGGCGCCCAAGATGCCAGCACCACTTCAAATTGATGTTTGAAACAGATGGGAAAAGGTTGGAGAAAACTGTTCGGAAGATTTCTGAAGTGGGACTCGTCAAGGATTCTGCTCAACTTTGTTGACAGTTGTCTCAATTCTGTGAACGAGATGAGTTTTTTGCTGGGGATGACATTGGTTCGATCCACAACTTGGATCCTGTCAGGCCTGCATCAAGAACGGATATCCCTTTGTGCTGCTTGGATGATCTTGGATGAAGAGATGGCTGCGGATCCAAACCTTCCCAACACCCACAGGGTTCCATCCTGCCTAGTGCTGCCGCCGAGGTTTGGCTTCACAGTGCTGACCAGCTTCAGTGAGGCAGCAAAAGACGGGAAGATGGTGATGCCTCAGCCTAACGACAAGGTCCGAGGAGGCTTGGCCTTGGGATGCTTTGGGATGCCTTGGGATGCCTAGGGATGCCAGGGATGCCTTGGGATGCCTAGGGATGCCCAAAAAAGGCCTGACAACCCAGTGCGTGGCATAATGTGGCACAGGTCGATGATTTGAGTTTCAAATATTTTCGCATGGATTTCTTGATGGGTTGCCTTCGTAGGCTGCAGTGTGGGGTTCCGACAAGATTCATCTTGATTCATCTTGAGATCGTTGCAGGCCATGCTGTGACAGCCGTGGGCTACGATGACTTCAAGGAATGCTTCATCGTGGCCTAGCAGAGCTGGAGATTGGTTTTGTCTTGTCCCCGCAACAACATAACAACTACATATCACCGGGGATTCACATAATTCAAGGCACTTCGTTCTGGTGCCAGGGGCAAACAAAAAGCTTTTAGAATCTCCAAATCGTGCCCAGCAAGATACCAATGAGAAGTTTTGTTTTCGCATTTCCCAGTCCAAGAGAACACAAAGGAGCATATGACGCACCTGGACGAGAATTGATAATCAAACTGCGATATACTGATGATTTTTTTTCCCGTTGCTGCTTACTTGCAGACAGCCAACAGACTTCCAAACCTCCGACACATCTAAGGTGCGCAATTCCTGGGGCGAGGACTGGGGAGACAAGGGCTACTTCTACATGCCCTACGCCTGGATCACTCAGGAGAACTTGGCCCAGGACTTCTGGGCCATCAATTGGATTGAAGGCTTCAAGGAGGCTGCTCCCAAGAAGAAGTGAACGGACGTGTGAACAGACGCCTGAAAGGGCGCCGAGATGGCTGTCCCCGAAAGGGGTTGCCACCCATGCTGAATGGTGATCAAAATTGGTGACCAGGATGTTTCTTTTAGCTGTCGAACAAAGACGCGCAAAAGATGACCTGGCAACAGGGGTGTTGTGACCTCCATTTGGATTCATTTGGCTGGTGCTTTAAGCCCACCTCTAGCAGACCACCAGGGCAGCGGAAATTTTCTGGGATTTCTGATCTTCCAATATCTTCCATTGTGATGTTGGTCTCAGTTTTCATTCATCTTCCAGGTCGGACAATCAGAAAAAAGTGAGCCAACATGAGCCAACATCACACGCAATTTCCACTTCAGCACCTGGGCTCAAGTCCTGCACGTTTGCTGCTCCCGTTAACTGACCATTGTAGTGAAACACCATGGGAAGCTGCGAGAGCAAGACCATCAATGATGCTGAGATCGTTGTTGACACCACCAGGCCGGGGTGGCTTAGAGTCTTAGTGTTGCTTGTTGTTGATGAAGAAGAGGTTCATACCGCGTCATACGCATCGGAAGCAAGCTGCAAAGTTCGCCGTTTGGGAAGACAGCCTAGCTTTGGAGTCTAACAGATTCAACAAAACAGGGACTACAGTCCCAGGTTTCAACGGTTTTTCTTTTAAGCTTTTAAGCTTCCAGCCTGCCAGGAATCCCAGGATGCAAACCATGTCCTTGACGAGCACGGAGAAGATGGGTTGGATTCCAGATATCCCAGATCATCGTGACTTGCACATGACCTTTTCCACCACCAAGGAGGCTTCCAAGGAGATCAAGAAGAGTCTTGACTTTAAATAGACCCAGCTGTACGTCATAGATCCCACTGTCACCGGGCCTGGTTATGCAGCGTTCTTCATTGGAGGATCTTTGCAGACTTGAGAGGACTTGAGGTACTGCAGCAGATACCCTAAAGAAACGACTCCCGAAATCAGCGGAAACTCAGTAGTCACCACTGCCAAGTCACCCAGGAAGAGCGAGGGATCCAAGGAGGTAGTGGATCTGCGTCCGCAGAACGGTGGCTTCCCCATCTTCAACCAGGGCCACTTGGGCAGCTGTACGGCAAATGCCTTGGCAGCTGCTTATCACTTCACCCTGCACAAGCAGCTTTGGGTTGAGAGTGTAGCAGCTTTTTAATTCTTTTGTTACGATATGTTACGATGACGATCGAACAACACCAGGCAAAAAAAACACCAAACAAACCGAACAAAATCACAAACAATTAGAACACCCCTCCAACAAACGAGGAAAACACCACTGAACATCCACCCCAAAAATGACAGCAATTGATCATCAATCGACCAAACACAAAGAGAAGACATCAACAGATGAGGATTCGGAATTGGTGAGGAAGTTGTTTGAGTTTATTTTTTGAGCTCCCGGGTCCCCAAAGCCAAGGCAGAATGTGGAGAACCATGCGGATTTCAAGGACTTCACCCCCAGCCGGCTGTTCATCTACTACAATGAGAGGCGCTGGGAGGTTTGTGGCAGGTCAGGTTGCTGACTACCAGTTCGTTACTGGTTGGTTGCTGGTTGCTAGCCGGTTCCTGGCTGCTCGTTGCTGGCTGGTTTTAGGTTTCTGGTGCTGGGGAGGGGCCTGCTTCAGTGGCGAGAGCTTTTCATGTTTCTCTTGTGGCCGGCCCAGCAGGTACATGGAGGGCAGCGTAGACCGTGATGCGGGTGCTATGATTCGTGACGGAATCAAATGCATGGAGAAGCTCGGTGTGTGCCCAGAGGCTGTCTGGAAGTGCCTTGGACGATGGATGGCACGGGATGGTGTGGATGGGGCTGTGGCTGGAAGATGGGGTGCATCACAGTCGCATGTAAGTTTGTTGTTTGATGTTGGTTTGGGCTTAAGGCTTAAAGGAAGTGGAGAGAGGACTAGCAATTTCATTGTGTAACCGTAAAATGATGCAACTATTTGGATTTGACACCCACACATCCAATCCCTGGACCTCTGCAGTTTTTGGACATCTGCATGCCAGAAGGTAGGAACGTCGAAGTATTCGCGACCCCCGAAGTGATCAACCGACGGCCCCCCCCCCCAGGGGACAGAACCATGCATGACCCATCTAGGTATGACGACAAGAACGGCTTCTTCAAGGAACAGCCCGACAAGAAATCCTATGAGCTCGCGTCCAAGTGCCGAGTGAAGGGCTATGCTCACGTGGCACAGGACTTGTCTCAGATGAAGGTGCCATGGGCGCCCAAGATGCCAGCACCACTTCAAATTGATGTTTGAAACAGATGGGAAAAGGTTGGAGAAAACTGTTCGGAAGATTTCTGAAGTGGGACTCGTCAAGGATTCTGCTCAACTTTGTTGACAGTTGACTCAATTCTGTGAACGAGATGAGTTTTTTGCTGGGGATGACATTGGTTCGATCCACGGCTCCGATCCTGTCAGGCCTGCATCAAGAACGGATATCCCTTTGTGCTGCTTGGATGATCTTGGATGAAGAGATGGCTGCGGATCCAAACCTTCCCAACACCCACAGGGTTCCATCCTGCCTAGTGCTGCCGCCGAGGTTTGGCTTCACAGTGCTGACCAGCTTCAGTGAGGCAGCAAAAGACGGGAAGATGGTGATGCCTCAGCCTAACGACAAGGTCCGAGGAGGCTTGGCCTTGGGATGCTTTGGGATGCCTTGGGATGCCTAGGGATGCCTAGGGATGCCTTGGGATGCCTTGGGATGCCTAGGGATGCCCAAAAAAGGCCTGACAACCCAGTGCGTGGCATAATGTGGCACAGGTCGATGATTTGAGTTTCAAATATTTTCGCATGGATTTCTTGATGGGTTGCCTTCGTAGGCTGCAGTGTGGGGTTCCGACAAGACTCATCTTGATTCATCTTGAGATCGTTGCAGGCCATGCTGTGACAGCCGTGGGCTACGATGACTTCAAGGAATGCTTCATCGTGGCCTAGCAGAGCTGGAGATTGGTTTTGTCTTGTCCCCTCAACAACATAACAACTGCATATCACCTGGGATTCACATAATTCAAGGCACTTCTGGTGCCAGGCGCAAACAAAAAGCTTTTAGAATCTCCAAATCGTGCCCAGCAAGATACCAATGAGAAGTTTTGTTTTTGCACTTCCCAGTCCAAGAGAACACATAGGAGCATATGACGCACCTGGACGAGAATTGATAATCAAACTGCGATTACTGCGATGATTTTTTTTCCCCGTTGCTGCGTACTTGCAGACAGCCAACAGACTTCCAAACCCCCGACACATCTAAGGTGCGCAATTCCTGGGGCGAGGACTGGGGAGACAAGGGCTACTTCTACATGCCCTACGCCTGGATCACTCAGGAGAACTTGGCCCAGGACTTCTGGGCCATCAATTGGATTGAAGGCTTCAAGGAGGCTGCTCCCAAGAAGAAGTGAACGGACGTGTGACCAGACGCCTGAAAGGGCGCCGAGATTGCTGTCCCCGAAAGGGGTTGCCACCCATGCTGAATGGTGAACAAATGGCTAGGCCGTGTGCCACCTACTTCTTTTGGCTGCACCAGTTGCAATGTCAATGTGCTTGGTCAAAATTGGTGACCAGGATGTTTCTTTTTGCTGTCGAACAAAGACGCGCAAAAGATGACCTGGCAACAGGGTGTTGTGACCTCCATTTGGATTCATTTGGCTGGTGCTTTAAACCCACCTCTTGTAGACCAACAGGGCAGCGGAAATTTTCTGGGATTTCTGAATTTCCAATATCTTCCATTGTGATGTTGGTCTCAGTTTTCATTTATCTTCCAGGTCGGACAATCAGAAAAAAGTGAGCCAACATGAGCCAACACCTCACGCAATTTCACTTCAGCACCTGGGCTCAAGTCCTGCACGTTTGCTGCTCCCGTTAACTGACCATTGTAGCGAAACACCATGGGAAGCTGCGAGAGCAAGACCATCAATGATGCTGAGATCGTTGTTGACACCACCAGGCCGGGGTGGCTTCGAGTCTTAGTGTTGCTTGTTGTTGATGAAGAAGAGGTTCATACCGAGTCATACCCATCGGAAGCAAGCTGCAAAGTTCGCCGTTTGGGAAGACGGCCTAGCTTTGGAGTCTAGCAGATTCAACAAAACAGGGACTACAGTCCCAGGTTTCAACGGTTTTTCTTTTAAGCTTTTAAGCTTCCAGCCTGCCAGGAATCCCAGGATGCAAACCATGTCCTTGACGAGCACGGAGAAGATGGGTTGGATTCCAGATATCCCAGATCATCGTGACCTGCACATGACCTTTTCCACCACCAAGGAGGCTTCCAAGGAGATCAAGAAGAGTCTTGACTTTAAATAGACCCAGCTGTACGTCATAGATCCCACTGTCACCGGGCCTGGTTATGCAGCGTTCTTCATTGGAGGATCTTTGCAGACTTGAGAGGACTTGAGGTACTGCAGCAGATACCCTAAAGAAACGACTCCCGAAATCAGCGGAAACTCAGTAGTCACCACTGCCAAGTCACCCAGGAAGAGCGAGGGATCCAAGGAGGTAGTGGATCTGCGTCCGCAGAACGGTGGCTTCCCCATCTTCAACCAGGGCCACTTGGGCAGCTGTACGGCAAATGCCTTGGCAGCTGCCTATCACTTCACCCTGCACAAGCAGCTTTGGGTTGAGAGTGTAGCAGCTTTTTAATTCTTTTGTTACGATATGTTACGATGAAGATCGAACAACACCAGGCAAAAAAAACACCAAACAAACCGAACAAAATCACAAACAATTAGAACACCCCTCCAACAAACGAGGAAAAACACCACTGAACATCCACCAAAAATGACAGCAATTGATCATCAATCGACCAAACACAAAGAGAAGACATCAACAGATGAGGATTCGGAATTGGTGAGGAAGTTGTTTGAGTTTATTTTTTGAGCTCCCGGGTCCCCAAAGCCAAGGCAGAATGTGGAGAACCATGCGGATTTCAAGGACTTCACCCCCAGCCGGCTGTTCATCTACTACAATGAGAGGCGCTGGGAGGTTTGTGGCAGGTCAGGTTGCTGACTACCAGTTCGTTACTGGTTGGTTGCTGGTTGCTAGCCGGTTCCTGGCTGCTCGTTGCTGGCTGGTTTTAGGTTTCTGGTGCTGGGGAGGGGCCTGCTTCAGTGGCGAGAGCTTTTCATGTTTCTCTTGTGGCCGGCCCAGCAGGTACATGGAGGGCAGCGTGGACCGTGATGCGGGTGCTATGATTCGTGACGGAATCAAATGCATGGAGAAGCTCGGTGTGTGCCCAGAGGCTGTCTGGAAGTGCCTTGGACGATGGATGGCACGGGATGGTGTGGATGGGGCTGTGGCTGGAAGATGGGGTGCATCACAGTCGCATGTAAGTTTGTTGTTTGATGTTGGTTTGGGCTTAAGGCTTAAAGGAAGTGGAGAGAGGACTAGCAATTTCATTGTGTAACCGTAAAATGATGCAACTATTTGGATTTGACACCCACACATCCAATCCCTGGACCTCTGCAGTTTTTGGACATTTGCATGCCAGAAGGTAGGAACGCCGAAGTATTCGCGACCCCCGAAGTGATCAACCGACGGCCCCCCAGGGGACAGAACCATGCATGACCCATCTAGGTATGACGACAAGAACGGCTTCTTCAAGGAACAGCCCGACAAGAAATCCTATGAGCTCGCGTCCAAGTGCCGAGTGAAGGGCTATGCTCACGTGGCACAGAACTTGTCTCAGATGAAGGTGCCATGGGCGCCCAAGATGCCAGCACCACTTCAAATTGATGTTTGAAACAGATGGGAAAAGGTTGGAGAAAACTGTTCTGAAGATTTCTGAAGTGGGACTCGTCAAGGATTCTGCTCAACTTTGTTGACAGTTGACTCAATTCTGTGAATGAGATGAGTTTTTTGCTGGGGATGACATTGGTTCGATCCACGGCTCCGATCCTGTCAGGCCTGCATCAAGAACGGATATCCCTTTGTGCTGCTTGGATGATCTTGGATGAAGAGATGGCTGCGGATCCAAACCTTCCCAACACCCACAGGGTTCCATCCTGCCTAGTGCTGCCGCCGAGGTTTGGCTTCACAGTGCTGACCAGCTTCAGTGAGGCAGCAAAAGACGGGAAGATGGTGATGCCTCAGCCTAACGACAAGGTCCGAGGAGGCTTGGCCTCGGGATGCCTTGGCATCTGTTGGGATGCCTTGGGATGCCTAGGGATGCCTTGGGATGCCTTGGGATGCCCAGGGATGTCTGGGAATGCCTAGGGATGCCCAAAAAAGGCCTGACAACCCAGTGCGTGGCACAATGTGGCACAGGTCGATGATTTGAGGAGTTTCAAATCCGCCCGCACCGAAGGTGCTGGGGCGTGATCTTCCGGATGGCACTCGTAAAAGGTTACAGGTTTACCTGGGGGGGGGGCATTTTTCGGCCAAAACCTCCTGTTTTTGATAGGTCGTGACGCTCGCCTTCAAAAAACACTGTAAAAAACAGTACGGAAGACACCTGTTCGTGAACGCGCCCGTCCAAAATCGGCAAGCGAAAAGTGAAAAAAACTCGTGTTTTTCAACTTTTTGACCTCAATTTTTTGGTTTGCAACATCTTTTTTTGCGGTTCCGCAGGTGGCCGGGCCCGGAGGCGGATTTTTGAGTTTTTGGACCCGTTTTCGGACTGATTTTCGTCGTTTTGTGATAGCAGAAACACTGGTTTTACAGTGTTTTTCTGTTTTCTGCATGCTTGACGGCTAGCTTCAAAACTTCCAAAAACCTCGTAAATTACGCTGTTTTATGTTACGGTGTGAATGAAAACATCGTAAATACCAGTGTTTTTTGACGTTGGTTAAAAAAACACTGTAAATTACAGTGTTTTTGGCCACCTGACCCTCAAAAACCATGGTATTTGCAGTGGTTTCTGCTTCTCACCGCGCAAAAACACTGTAAATAACAGCAATTTCGCCGTTTTTTCATGTTTTTCGTTATTTTTTGAACTGCGTTGGTCCGCTATACATGGCTATCAAATTCTTCGCGTTTTTTTTTCCGACAATCAGTACTTTCGGATGTTTTTGGTCTCAATGGCCGACATCATTGGCAGTTACGAGCGGCTGCCCAACGATGCGGTGCGGGCGGTTGCCGTCGCGCAGCGACGTGAATATTTTCGCATGGATTTCTTGATGGGCTGCCTTCGTAGGTTGCAGTGTGGGGTTCCGACAAGATTCATCTTGATTCATCTTGAGATCGTTGCAGGCCATGCTGTGACAGCCGTGGGCTACGATGACTTCAAGGAATGCTTCATCGTGGCCTAGCAGAGCTGGAGATGGGTTTTGTCTTTTCCTCGCAACAACATAACAACTGCATATCACCGGGGATTCACATAATTCAAGGCACTTCGTTCTGGTGCCAGGGGCAAACAAAAAGCTTTTAGAATCTCCAAATCGTGCCAAGCAAGATACCAATGATAAATTTGGTTTTGCACTTCCCAGTCGATCATATGATGCACCTGGACGAGAATTGATAATCAAACTGCGATATACTGACTGCAATGTTTTTCCCGTTGCTGCTCACTTGCAGACAGCCAACAGACTTCCAAACCCCCGACACATCTAAGGTGCGCAATTCCTGGGGCGAGGACTGGTGAGACAAGGGCTACTTCTACATGCCCTACGCCTGGATCACTCAGGAGAACTTGGCCCAGGACTTCTGGGCCATCAATTGGATTGAAGGCTTCAAGGAGGCTGCTCCCAAGAAGAAGTGAACGGACGTGTGACCAGACGCCTGAAAGGGTGCCGAGATGGCTGTCCCCGAAAGGGGTTGCCACCCATGCTGAATGGTGAACAAATGGCTAGGCCGTGTGCCACCTACTTCTTTTGGCTGCACCAGTTGCAATGTCAATGTGCTTGGTCAAAATTGGTGACCAGGATGTTTCTTCTTGCTGCAGTCGAACAAAGACGCGCAAAAGATGACCTGGCAACAGGGGTGTTGTGACCTCCATTTGGATTCATTTGGCAGCGGATTTTTTCCGGGATTTCTGATCTTCCAATATCTTCCATCCTTGTGATGTTGGTATCAGTTTTCATTTATCTTCCAGGTCGGACAATCAGAAAAAAGTGAGCCAACATGAGCCAACATCTCACGCAATTTCCACTTCAGCACCTGGGCTCAAGTCCTGCACGTTTGCTGCTCCCGTTAACTGACCATTGTAGCGAAACACCATGGGAAGCTGCGAGAGCAAGACCATCAATGATGCTGAGATCGTTGTTGACACCACCAGGCCGGGGTGGCTTAGAGTCTTAGTGTTGCTTGTTGATGAAGAAGAGGTTCATACCGAGTCATACCCATCGGAAGCAAGCTGCAAAGTTCGCCGTTTGGGAAGACGGCCTAGCTTTGGAGTCTAGCAGATTCAACAAAACAGGGACTACAGTCCCAGGTTTCAACGGTTTTCTTTTAAGCTTCTAAGCTTCCAGCC